ATTTTTTCGTAGAATTACTCTGATTAGCTATAATTTAAAATCCGGTATTTCTCACAATGAATTTTCAGCGTATCATTCATTACAAGAAACACTTCAATTAACCGTAATAACCCCTTCAATTAATTGCAACGATTAAGCAATATCTCGATTATTTTCAAATCACGTTGAAGGAGCTTGTTTGTGAACGCCCTTAATCAGATTAATAAACTGCCAAACAACTCAATTTTAGTTATACTAGGATAAAGTGAACTAGGAGAGTAGGATACATACGTATTTTCTACAAGAAATCGGTAATAAAAAGGTTCTGATAACTAGATCTTAAACGTTAGTATGAAACATATGTCTACAAAAATTCGTTGTCTATTGAATCAAAAAAATTTCTATTATAAATAATAGCACATAGTATTTTTCAATAGAAATAATAAATAAACTTGTCACTCAATGTAATCGAAACGTACATTCTATTGCTTCACTATAAGGTCTTCTATAACGCTCTAAACCAGGATTACTGCTCATTATTAGGGCCAAAGGAGGGTAATAGGTATTTTTAGCAGGCAAAACATCAGACATATAATTGGATGATTACCTGTTTTTTATCAATGTACGACTTAAAAACCGCGTTGGAGATAATACAACTTGAAAAACTTGATGATCATCCTACATGCTTCATGTTACACTATATCCTGTTTAGGCAATCAACCTGGTTTTTTTTTTTGGAGATGAAAAAAGGTATATAACGGTTACCTTTTTCTTCTTTTTCTTCACATCAATTCTCATTTCGTTTTTTTTTTTAAAAAAATATTACTTCACCTACCTTTACCCCTAAAAAATATTTCTCCTCTCGTAGATTATAGTCGTAACAAAAAAGTTTATGATATTCTTGGGGAATATCACCAACCAGAGGCCTTCGGACTTCTGACCCCAACAGTCTTCAAGAATATTATAATATTTTTTGTTATTAATTATAATCTTTTTATTTTCCTTTTAATTTCCACACCCTTCGGGCGGGTCTGCGTTTAACAACATGGACCTCAAAGCGAAAATTGACAAGCGGCAGGGGTTATCTAATCAGTTCTTGCTCGAGGAACTGAGGTTTGATAAAATTCCCAGCTCACTTGAGTTTATCGCGAGTCCTTTGTTAGAACAATTGTTTATTTTTCGGTGTTCCTTTCGAGCGGGTCACGTCTTGTCAACCTGGACTTCAAAGCCAAAACCGACAAGCGGCAGGGGTTATCAATCAGTTTTTGCTCGAAAAATTGAGGTTCGATAAAATTCCCAGCTCACTTGGGTTTTTGCGAGTTCTTTGTCAAGACATTTACCTAGTCATAGGATACACCTCTACGTGGTGACTAGGACGAGTAAGCTATTTTTTGCTGAAACCAAGTATCCTTATAAAGAAAATATATATCGTTGTAATTAAATAATCATCGTTGTAAATAAATAATTATTGTTGTAAATAAATAATTATCATTGTAACAAATAAAAATTGTTATAATATAAAATATGAAAAGTGTATTTGTCGCTCCCGTAACATGACATTTTTGTCACCCTATTTAAATGATTATTATCAATAAACATTTTCTTTTTTGATTTTATGTAATATTGCATTTAACTAATTCTTCTTTTTTTTCAGGTATTGTTGAAGTTGCTATTGCTGAAGTTACGTTGTTTGTCTTCGATAGGCGGTATAATTTTCGGTAGAGTTTC